AAGGCAGGAGGATCAAGCGTGGCCAACTTAGACAACATAGTAAGACTGTGTCTCGACAAACAAAACAAAACCCGCAAACAACTCTTCTGATGAATTATGGGAAAATCAATCAAGGGTAGCCATGAGCAGAAATAGCCTGTGATGCCTGGCACTGGTGAGTGTCATATTTCTGTATGTGTGTGTGTGCAGGTGCAGGCCTGCATGTGCCACAGTGTGCATGTGGAGGTTCAAGAACAACTTTCGGAAGTTGGTTCTTGCTTTCTATTTTATGACGCAGGTCTCTCTCATTGGTTCTGTTGCTATACTACGCACTCTAGGCTAGCTGTCCTGCAAGCTTCCAGATGATTCTCCTGTCTAAACTTCGAATCTCCAATGCAGGGGTGCTGGGATTACAGACCCTCGCCACCACATCCAGCTTGTTATGTGGACTCCTGGGCTCAAACTCCGGCGACAGGAAGTAGTTTTGCCTGCTGGGCTCTCTCCTGACTCACACCTCTCCTTAAAGGATAGAAATAAGTGTGGGCAGCACATATCACTAGAACTGAGGAGCTGTGGTTTTGTTATGTACTCTTCACAGGATGTCAGTATAAACACTGGTAATCATGACAAGTTCCTGGACATGTTCTGTGTGCCGGGCATAGAGCCAAGCCCTTACAAATATTTATCCTTTAACCCGTAAGTAGTCCGGTCAGGACATTCGCTTTTCAAATGAGGCCTCAAAAGGCCAGGGGACTTGCCCTTGCCGGCGCTCACACACTTTGCCTACACAGATGGTAGGCATTCATTCATCACCTGCAATCAAAGCAGCTCCACCCTCAGTTGGCTCCGTCTGATTCAGAATTGTTTGACTCCGTGGTTCCGAGCCTGGCTTCTATCGCTGGGGAACTTTAAGAAACCCTGGAGCCTGGCCTCCATCCTGAGAGATTATGATGCAATCAGACCGGGGTATGGCCTGGACATGGGGACTTTCTGGAGGACCCCGGGTGGCTCTAATGCATTGCCAAGGGAGAGGACTGCTGCCTCCTTTAGGGGTGACTTTAGGGGTCTCCTACCCTTTCTCAGGTGTCTTCTCGGCTGCCTGAAACTCAGTCCATGGAAGAAGAAATCTCTTGGTGGTGTGCAAACTATAAATGACATAGAATGTGGAGAGAAAGGCTCACTGGCCGCACATGCGGTTGTTGAAATCTCTCTTGCCTTCTGCGAGCGTTGGGAAGCAGAGCTGTAGGGTTGGTCCTGGGAGAGAAAGACGCGGAAGCTGCTATCTGGAGACTCCTGTCCTGATCTCGGCTTTGCTCCGTGTGTGTGTGTGTGTGTGTGTGTGTGTGTGTGTGTGTGTGTGTGTGT